GCCTGGAATCAGGGAGAAGTTGTAGCCTGTCTCACCAGAAATGTTAAATGAGGAAAAGAGCCAGAGATGAGTTGAATGAACCATGTCATTGTATGCTAGGCTACAAGGTGTGCTTGATGACTGCATTGAAGAGCTGGTGTATGAATTTTACACGGTACTTAACATCTGTTTCTCATAACTGTGTTTCCAGGATCGGATTATTACTTTTGTATGACCGAGACAAAGAAAACATAACCTTCCAAGGTCATGAAGCCCGTATTCTCTCTGCCCTGTTAACAGCTTTTCATTCGCACCACACTAGCCCTTGCCATGTGGATCGTAACTTCCAACTTTGTGCTATCTTGTGTTCATCGTCAGTAGGCAGAGGGACACCAGTGCTTCTGATCAGTTGACTCCCTTCTTTTTTTTTTTTCATTTTTATTCAGTCTTGGACCCAGTGAATGGGATGGTGCCACAGGCATGCCAGGTAGGTCTTCTTTGCTCAGATAAACCTCTCTGGAAACACATTTACAGACATGCCCATAAGTGTGTCCCCTAGTGATTCCAAGTGATTCTAAGCATGTCTCCTAGGTGATTCTAAGTGTGTCTCCTAGGTGATTCTGAGTGTGTCTCCTAGGTGATTCTGAGTGTCAATTTGACAATAAACAGTCACAACCACTGATTCTGCTCACAATATACCAACACACCCTGTTATAGTGATGCCTAATGGACTAAATATCCACAAAGAGACCCCAACCAACAATTAGTGCCTCTCTGTTCTGCTGTTCAGATCTGTACTCTGTAGCTGTGGCTACACAAACCATGCTTTTGAGTTGAGTTCCTTCTCACACTCACTTTTACCCTTCTTTCATTTTGCTTTCTACCAAACTCTCAAGGTGTAATAGCTGGTGTTGTTATTACTGTGCTAGTCTTATGTGTGTGTGTGTGTGTGTGTGTGTGTGTGTGTGCATGTCTATGTGTGTGTTTAGTTTTAAATACATATGTCCCTGGATTTTGATTTGAGATAGTGTAAAGGCAAAATGTATTCAGAAAAAAAAGCCTCTATACTTCAAATTTTAAATTTTGATTATTTTTTCAGGTTAGTGATACATCGTCTAATGTTTTTTTAATGATGCCGGGCACTGGTAGTGAGCTATGGCTACCAGGCAGCCCATTGCCAGTAGGGTGATTTTCTATAGTGAACTGTATTCTAGGATATTTCAGCCAGGTAGGTGAGACACTTTCAAGTTACAATATTCTCAAACTACAGTTCTCTGCCATGATGTAACCACGCCATCAGCTGAGAAGCACCCTACATTTTGATGCAAAGAATCATGGTGAATTGAAAGCACGACATTATTAACAATGCCCTCCTGGATGACGACAGTGAATACTCAATACTGTGTTGACACGGGTCAAACAGCTGGGAAAAAATCAGCTTGGGGAGAACAAATACAGACTTGAAGGCGGTGGATAGCTCACTGAGTGGAAAGCATGCTTCCCAAGCCCATTCCTAACTCTTACCACTTACGAGACATGTTTTTGAAAAGGATGTACTTTTTTTTCTTCAGAATATTTCCTCAGATTTGACCAGGTGTTAGATAACCACATGTCAGAGCTACCTATGAAGCCTACATGTAGACTCAAACTCAGTGGTTCTTTGAGATTAGGAAAAAGACACTTTCCTTGCCTGCCCGTGAAAGTTGATTTGGGGTATTTGGAGAAGCCCTGCTCTCCTGCTTGGTTTACAAGGTACAGCTGGAGACTGCATTCCAGAGGGACTTTTTTCTTTAAAAAAAAAATGAAAAGCACATTATACAGGAGAGGAAGGAAAGAGAAATCCATTGCTCTTGCTTCAGAAAACAGTAAGGAAGGTCATCACTCCTTTGTGAATTTCATCATTTGAACAATGTTCTGGGAAGTGTCAGTTCTTCCTAGCTTGCAGGCTTCAGATATGAGGTCCTACTTTGCCTAGTTCTTTGCCACAAGGGTGGCTGTATTGGTTGGGCTTTGTCAACTTGACATAAATCTAGACATTTCTGGGAAGAAATTATCTTAACTGAGAAAATGCCTTCTTAACAGTGGCCCACAGGCAAGTCTGGAGGGCATTACTTTGATTAATGATTGATATGGGAGGGACAGGAAAGCTACGGGGGCGTGTACCCATGGGGGGGGTACCCGCCCCATGGTCAGGTAGTTCTGGGATGTTTAAGAAAGCAAACTGAACAAGCCGTGAGGAGTAAGCCAGTAAATAGCACGTCTCCAAGGGCTTGGCCTTAGCTCCTGACTACAGGTTCCTTGATTTCCTGCCCCCGCTTCTCTGAGTGACAGGCTGTGATGTGGAATGGCAAGCCAAATAAACCCTTTTCTCCCTGGTTTGGTTTTGGTCAGTGTTTTACCATAGCAACAGGAAGCAAACTACGAAAGTGACTGAGCTGCCTTTCAGCTGTAGGTCTGGTTTCTCTCTGTCCCACCCACACACTCTCCACTTACACACTCAAGTTCTTTGTCAGACGTGCTTGACAAAGTTCAGCTTAACTAATTTGCATTCATGTGATTGATTTAATTAAATATGGGCTCCCATCACCCTTTAGGAAGCATGCGGTTGTTTTTAACACACGGCTGCGTGCACTGTTGGCCATTAAGGTGTCTGTTAGAATGCCCATAAACATCTAGTTATTCAATATTGGACAAACTTTGCCTTATTGTAATGTACTTGTGATAGAAAACTTAGATTCAGTCACACAATTTTCAGCTCATAACAGTTTTCTAGGAGCATTTCACAATTTTTTTTACGTTGTCTATATTGTATGTTTTTACATACCATGAGGAAGTGAACTAGGCCTCTAAGGCATATCTGTAGAATAAAAAAATTTAGGCACTTACATATTATAAACCTTGAAACAATCCAATCTGTACATGTTTTATAAGGAGGTAGGTGGGAGACAGATGCATTAGTACATAAAGTTTTTATTTAAACTTTTTCCCTTCCAAGCAAGCTTCATTTACATTCTAGTACTATACAAAATTTACATTCTCTGTGACTTTTTATTCACTTTTCACTTTCTAGAAGTTTGTATCTCTCTGAAATACAGAAAGCTTTATTTAGAGTTCTCATAAATGCTTTTATTTAATTTGGCTAGTGATAAAAAATAAAGTGAAAAAACCAATCTAAAGAAAGCTGATACCCTTGTATAAACAGCGACTCTTGGAAGAAACAGTGGCAGCTGAGAATATGGTTTCCGAAACAGCACGTGCTCTCTAGGAAAGCCAGTGGGCGTTTTCCATATTCTTATTGTCTTTCTTTCTATATATTTGCATGTTTTCAAGGAAAAAGAAATAAAAGCTGATTGCACTGGTTATGTATATATATTCACATATATATTTTTACAACGGATCCTTTGGATCTGAACATACAAATAAATACAAAAACAACAAAGATTGCACTTTTCTGTAGAAACGTTGGATTTTGGTGTGCCCAGCCATCTTGAGGTGCTCATGAAAGTTTCCCAGGAAGGCATTTGTTCTCATCTGTGGATTCACCTACTTGGAATTTTGAACATCACATTTATTGAAGGGTTCAACACTTCTTTGTGATTAAAAAAATATTTAGGCTTTTGTAATTGCCTATGAGCTGTTAGTCAAACAACTCAAATGAGCTTGAAGTCAGGTTCGTGTTCCTGATAGCTTTGCATTTCTGTTTGGCCACAAAAAGACCGTGTCATGCCCTCCTGATCTTTTCTGAGTTCCTAAAAACAAGCATCGGTTGCTCACTCAACCCAGTCCAGGCATCTCAGGTGATGACAAACAATGGGGTGAGTGGAGGAGTAATGAGAACTGAGATCGTACAGCCAACTGAAGATGAGGAAGCGTGCTGTCAGGTACTGTAAGTATGTAAGTCCTTTTTTAAAAAATAATTATTTAAAAGATGTATTTATTTTTATTTTATGTGTACAAGTGTTTTGTTTACATGTATGTATGTGCACTGCATGCCTGGTACGATGGATGCCCTGGAACTGGAGTTATGGGTGATTGTAAGCCACCATGTTGGTGCTGAGAACCAAACCTAGGTTTTCTGCCTGAGAAGCAAGTGCTTTTATTCATGAAGTCACCTCATGTGTTTTAAGAGTTAGAAAGATAATTGGGTTGTACTTGAGAGAAAGTTTTTCTTGTGTAGCTGAATTTTTGAAAGTAATTTCTTTCTTTTTTTTTTATTATAGATTAAACTTGGAACAAATTGTTATCCAACAGAATTTCTGAGTTATTCTACGATGGGTTGTTGGTCTTATCCTTTGAGGCAAATTGTCCTTATGTTCACTACTTAAAATACTATAAGAAATGAGAAAGCATAAGCCTCTGGGAACTGAAGAGCGACAGGGTGCACTTTGTTTTAATTTTCAAGGAGAATCAAAAACACAATTAAGACTCTGGCAGAGAACAATTGCCAAAGAGACTAACAGCATACTTTCCCCCTGAATCTCGTGGGAAGCCATAAGGAATACAAAATACGATTGTGTACAAAGACGCCTGTCTTCCATCTTCTGTGGTTTTCCGTCGCCGTGTTACCTATGGAATTGGTGGAGAAGCCAAGCATATTTACCAACACAGAATCAAGTGGCAATTTCTGGAATGCAGGGTAAGCGTTTTGGTAGGTTGGATTTTGAATCATTCATGTACAAAATATCCTCCAAATGTCCACGTCTATTACATGCAGTTAGGAAACGATGCACAATACGGATCTTAGGTCTCTGGGGCCAGGCTTCTGTGGTTTATCTTTCCCTCTCTGCAAGTTCAGCTCTGTGTGAGTTTGTGTAAAGGCAGAAAAAGTTAAAACCAGCCTGATACGGAAGAATCTGTCACCACAGCAAGTCGAGCGTGGCCTGAGTTGCAGACAACAGTCTCTGCTCAAGGCCAGGACTCTTCCTTCTGTAGTTGCTTGTAAGTCATCAGGAACCAAAGGTGGGCTTGGGCAGTTGTAGCATTGGAATGCACGGTCCATGCAGGACAGCACGTCACCTGTCGCTCCATCCTAGAGGTGGCACTGTGCCGGGGGTTCCCGCTGTCATTTGTTGTAGGGTACACAAGCTGGTAGAATGACCGTCGCACAGGCTGGACCTGCCAGGGGTTCAGCCACATCACCTTCGAGTTCTGTCCAGGTTCCTTTTTCTGGACAATAACAGATTGTAGATGACTTGTAGGCACCCTGGAATGGCAGAACAGTATTTAGGGAAGGGTACTCAGAGCCGCTGAGCCAATGCCACTCTCCATGGCTATGCTGGGGAGTCCTCTGCTCAGCCTGAAACACTTCAGATGAACTCATTGGGCTTTCAGCTGGTGTATTTTACAGAAATATTCAGAACTGACATTTCAGAATCTTGTCGGTGTGGATGTGTGTGTGTGAGCATGCTTGCATGGACTTATTTGTGGAGAACAGAAGATACCCTTTACTGTTACTACTCATAAGCGTTCACATCTTTTTTAAGGCAGGATCTCTCCTGGGCTTGGAACTTCTCAAGTAGGGTAGTGTCTGCCTCATCTACTTCCCCAATATTTATATTAAAATTATAAGCCATCACATCTAGGTTTTTTTGTTTGTTTGTTTGTTTGTTTTTTGCTTTTGCGAGTGTTTCAGAGATTAAACTGAGGTCCTTATGCAGGCAAAACAGGACTTTACTGACAAAACTACCTTCCTGGCCCTTGTGATATATTTTTGATGGCTAGTGATCAAACTCAAATAAATACCTAGGACATCCTTAATGCTCAGCAATCACTTTTAAATAATTGGCCCCAAATGGGAATTTTTCAGTAGGTTTAAATTAAGGAGCAGAAAGGAGACAACTTCACATTTCTATTTAAATAGTTGAATAAATTTAAATAGAAGTTTAAATAGTAGATGCTAGATTGTTGTCTCATTTCTTTGCTTTTATTTATTTATCTATTTTACTGAAGAGAAGGGAGTCAAGATAGCAAGGCATTTTCAAATAGACTAAAAACATCTCCACATATTGATTTATTCATCTTGAAGAGGCCCCACAGCAAAAGAACAAAGGCTTTGGGCTTTATTCATTTTAAGGCTAATGCTTTCGTAAAATTTTCCTTCCCAAATCAAACATAGGCAACAAAGCCCCCCAAAACTCATGGTATTTTCTGATTGTACATTCTTCACGTCTGTTGGATGCAACTCTACTTTTGTAGTGGACAATTTTCTCCAGACAGCAGGCACATGTGTGAAAATATACGTTTATGTGTCAACTTATGTTTGCCTTTATAAAACTAACTTTTCCTCAAAAATTTATCACATACTCTTGCTTGATGAAGAAGAAATGAAACTAATGTTATTAGAACTCCGAATTGATGTAGTGAGACTAACAGAGATAAATAAGGCGATATAAAAATAGTTATCACTGGGAGACTACTGACACTGACCCGTAGGCTGAGGTCTCTGATGCACTCTAAAGATGTTGCCTCTTTTTTCAGATATTGAATTTTAATTTTTCTCTATCTTTTTTTTTTAAACAAAGCATATGCATAAATACAAGATTAAGACTATAAATAAATAATAAATAGCTTAAACCTTATCAGTTCCTGCCTAGCTTCCGGTCTGAAGAATGATATTGAATGACAGCACAAGCTGGTTATCGGCCATACCCACAGTGTGGGGTTATTTCTGGGTCACAAATGAGATCATTTTGCCAACAAGTCAGCGAACAAAAAGTGGGGTGGAGGTAATGTTCTAGATTGTGGTGATCTGTGGGACATGACAATGAAATGCGTGTGAGGCTTACTGGATCTTGATTCGAATGCAACATTATTTGTGTGGGCGTGAGGGGGAGGAGCCAATAGGAAAAAATTGAGTTTGGATGGATCATAAAGCAACTACTGTAACTTTCTGGGTGTGATAAATTGTAGTGTGTTTATAGGAGTGAATAACTTTAAAAAAGATAAACACTGAAACCCATAAGGTGAAGTAGGAAATCAGGAATTTGCTTCACATCTCTCAGTCAAACTTAAAAGAGTCTATTGATGACGGTGTCACTAGACGATTGGAAAAGGAAACTCACTGCCACTTCCGTTTTTGTTTATGTTTGGAATTTTTCAGGATGAGAGGCAGGATAAAAAGCAAATGTCATGCCCTAAGTAGAATTCCCTTTTGGTCAGAAACCTTTCAGACTTTCTTATTCAATTTCTACAGAATGCTCGGAAAATCATTTTGTTTTGGCTTTGAGCTGGAAAACAGGTTCACGAACACGTGGATGTAGCAGCAAGCTGGAGGCATGACCCCTGCTGTGAGATGGGTGACCGGGAAGCAGGCCATGTCTACTGCACCTATAACAGCTCTGTCCCCCTGCTCACTGTGCTGTACCACTGCATGAGAACCCCAGGTTCTTAAGGGAACACACCCCTGGGAAACAAAGCCAGCACACACGGGAGGAGGAAGGGAGAAACACGAGCACTTACCATACTCCAGCTGTAGCCCCCCACGAGATAAATGCTGTCGTCAAGCACCGCACAGCCGGGACCGCTTCGACCCTCCAGGATGGGAGTTTGGAGAATATTCCACTGGTCGCCTTTTGGGTCATAGCACTCCACAAGCATGACGTCAAGGTGGGAGAAACCTAAGTGGCAGGAGGAGGCAAGATGGAGAAAAGAGTGACTTTCACCATCCGCTTACAGGCTACTTGTTTTTAGAAGCAGTGCTGGTGTTAAGAGCTAACTTTGAAGATAATGCAACTGTGCTTTTGAAGACACAAGTGCATGATTTCACTGGTGGAAATGGGAGACGTCAAAAAACATCTAACAACAAATAAGTGAATGAACGAGAAAAAAATCTCAATAACTTTGGATGCTTGTGGATGAACGCAAATCAAGAATGCCTAAGCAGGTCTCATAAGGCTGATTACACAGAGGTAGACCTTATTAAAAAGATTTATTATAACATTATTTTAAAGGATTTAAGATGACAATGGTCAACACATCTAGCTTAACGGGGATTCATGCTTGTGTTTTTATAAAGGCAACATTGGCGAACATATGAATGAGCGAGAGAGCTCAGACTTCCACAGACCAAACTATATTGCTTTTCTTGCATATTTAACTCTCTCAGGATAGTTTAATCAATTAAAATTCATTCTTCAGGGTCATAAGCCTTTCCTATAATCTGACTACGTATATAAACAGCTTCAATGATGAGTGGAGAAGTTTTCAAGCATCAAGGTTTGGAGTTGGGTCTGTAAACTCTGAGGATCTTTCTCCCTTCCACTGCTCTTGAGTGTGTGTGTGTGTCTGTGTAAGTGTGTCTGTGTGATTGTGTGTATGTGAGTGTGTATGTGTGTATGTGTAATTGTGTAAAGTGCCTTGTGTGAGAATATGTGTGTGTGTGTATGTGTGTCTCTGTGTGTATTTAAGTATATGTGAGTGTGTCTGTGTGAGTTTGTGTAAATAAATGTGTGTTTAAGGGTGTGTGTGTGAGTATATGTGAGTGTCTGTGTCTCTATGTGTGAGTATATGTGAGTGTGTTTATGTATAATCTAGAGTGTAACCTCAGATGTCATTCTTCAGGTTCTACCCACTTTGTTTTTGGAGAAAGGCTCTGCCTTGTGACCATGAGGATTCCACTAGGGCCCAGAACCTACATTTTTCTTGGTGACCTTGTCACTACCCCAGCTATGGAAAAATCTAAGAAGTAGAATGAGAAGCACGGGGCTGTAATCATATCACTCAGGAAACAGAGGCAGGGGGATCATGGTTTCAAGGCCAACCTTGGCTACATAGTAGGAAAGAGGGGGCAGTAAAAATGATATTTTGTTTACTTAAATTCATGTTATGAATTTCTAGCTGACAATCTGTATGCATTAACTAATCTCTTGATTTTTCAATCATGGCTAAAAAGACAAATTCAAAGAATTAATTTTCATTGCTGAGAAAGCAGACAGGTTATTTCAGGATACTAATTTCTTACACAAAATAAATCACACAGGTGGTGTTTCAATAGAACAATAGTTCCACTACAAATTTTATATGTACTTAAAATGAGCATATGGCAATAATTCTAGATCTTGAGGTTTTTAGGGCATTGTTTAGGGGCATGTACACCTTCTCTATGCCTCATTCCGCACACACTATGGATGCTGAGTACAAGCCTCACAGAAGGATACCATCATTATCCCTCTTTTTTTTTTCATTATCCCTCTTTTATAGATATGCTGCAGTATGTGTCTTGAATGGGATGACACACCATTTATTTCAAACTAGCATTCAAGCAATAACTTTTCTTTGTCATTATTCCATCTCTATCTATCTATCTATCTATCTATCTATCTATCTATCTATCTATCTATC